GCTGCTCGACTGCTTCATCAATATTCTGGAAAATAACCTATGCAATAGATTGTTTGGTGGAAAATTTGAAGTAAGTAAAATGAAAGAAATTTGATTTGTATTCTCTCAATCTCAATTACAATTCGAATTCCCTGATTACAAAAGAGAGGAGAATGATCTGGATTCTCCCCTTTGTTTAATTCTGGGTTCTTCACGGTGGCGATGAGATGCCTCCCTCGAATGCTCGCGTCGAGTTTTCTTCTCGTTGATGATCCGAACGTCTTGTTTCACTGGAACGTTGTCTTCTCCTCACGATTTGACGTTGTGGAGAACTTGTAAAGAAAGTTTTAGAACTCTTGATGAGTTGATAACTCTGAATAAGTTTGAAACTCTATGAAAGAGTTGATTTAACCGAAAGTCGGTTATAAGCCAAGGATGAAGAAGCTCCTTATTGTCGAACGTTGCTGAAGGATGAACGTCGATCTCCCCCTCGCTGCCAAGCCGAATATCTCCTCTTCGCTGCCAAGTCCAAGATCCAAAAACCCAGCCGAAAAGAAGCCCTGAACTTAGTTGAGTTTACTTGTTTTTATAGGGGATTAAGAGGGTGTAACCGCCCCTTAAACCACTCCTAAGTGGGGTGTAACCGTCCTCAAATCATGGGAAACAGTTTTAGAATTGATCAAGGGTTTAAAGGGTGTAATCCCCCTTAAAATCTCTCCATAATGGGGTATAACCGACCCCATTAAGTGAAGATACGGTTTTAAGACCGTTCAGGTTCTGTTTGAACCAGTCGAACGCCAAAAACGCGGGTCTGACCCCCGCGTTTTGATGTTACAATGCGGGTTCGACCCCTGCGTTTTGATGTTGCAACGCAGGTTCGACCCCTGCGTTTTGATGTTACAACGTAGGTTCGACCCCTACATTTTATTGCTGACACACAAGGAGGACCTCAGCGTTTTGGTGTGGCAACGCAGGGAGGACCTATGCGTTTCGTTCTGGGAACACAACCACGAGCTATGCGCGCGTTTTGGTGTGGCAACGCAGGGAGGACCTATGCGTTTCGTTCTGGGAACACAACCACGAGCTATGCGCTTTGAATCTGGGACGCATAGGTGAGCTCCCTATGCGTTTCGTTCTGGGAACACAACCACGAGCTATGCGCTTTGAATCTGGGACGCATAGGTGAGCTCTGCGTTTGGATTTGAAAAGGCCGTCAATTTATAGTCTCTTTTACTAGAACGTTGTAAAGACCGTCATCTTGTAATCTTCGTCTTGGCTCCTTTGAAATACGAGAGTCGTCAGATTGTAATTCCCGATGTTGATTGTGAAAGCTGCTGATTAGAGCTTTCATCAGTTGTTATGAAGGTCATCATATTGTAACCTTCAGCAATCTACGTAAAAGTCTTCAAATTGTAGCCTTCTGGAAGCCATCGAATTACAACTTTTATTATCGGTGTTTGATGGGGATTGGCTATCTGTTGTGATTTTTAGACAGCCTACATAGACATATATTAACAACCAAGAGATAACATTAACAACTAAATGATATTATTCACAATTACTCAGTAACAAATGCAATGCTTACCCATCCTTTAAGAACGTTAACATCTTCTAAACCCATTTTGTTGTTTGTTTTGGGGATGGGCTATCTTGGGCTACGTGCCCTAATAGTGTCAATCGTCTCCTTTTCCTTCTTCTTCTTCTTCCTCTCTCTCTCTCTCTCTCTCTCTCTCTCTGTGTGTGTGTGTGTGTGTGTGTGTGTGTTTCTTCTTCTCATGTTCCTTCCCCCACAAACCTTTACCTGGTTCTTTAAAAATCTTCTCCACGCTTTGAACTTGGCCCTATAACTATGGAAGATTTATAGTAGCATGTTGAGCTTTAGGTTTAGCTTTAACTGTGGCTAATTTTAGGGATCCCCCCACTTCTCTCAGTGTTACCCAATTTGTAAGGGAAGGCCTTAACATACTTCCATATACTGGCTTCTCAATGCTAGTAAGTTCATAGTGTCACAACTACACATGAGAGAAATAGAAGATTATAAATCTTTCAAAATAGTCAATAATTCTAACAGCTGAAAATAACCTTAACAATAAATATGTAACCTTAACAACCAACTTATAATCTTAACAACCAACCTGTAACCTTAACAACCAATCTGCAATCTTAGTAACTAACATGTAACATTAACAACTAATCTGCAATATTAACAATCAACCTATAAACTTAACAACCAATCTGTAGCTTTAACAACCAATTTATATACATAACAACTAATCTCTAACCTTAACAACTAACTACTGTACTTAAGCATTAATAAATAACCTTCACAATCAAGAATAAGCTTAACATCTAGTCATTGCTCTAAACAATAAACAGTAGGAATACTTACAAATACAAGCTGGGTACACCCTTGCAGATACAGAAGCTTCTTTCTTGTTCCAGGACCCCTCAATACTGCTTCAGTTGCAACATTTGTCTCGTTGAATATATAACTCCCTCAAGTAATGTTCTTTGCTTGTTTGATGCTGTCAACATACTTATGCCAAGAACACTACTAGGATACCAGATCATGCTCAACTAATAAAGGATCTGAAGTAGGACAAATTTCTTTACATCTTCATGCTTACTTGATCTTACAAGCTTCGTGAGTAGATCAATATAATGTATGGTAGGTGATGGGGAGCCTTACCGCTATCATCCTCATTTTTGAAAAAAAACTTTTTCAAATCTGATTGTTTCGATCTCAGTTGGGACCAACAAAATCCCTCTCATTGGAGAACCATGTATGGTTCATAACCCATTCAAGGTTGAATGAGCACTCAATGTCTTATCTAGTTTTTGTATCTGTGAAGATAAATTTCTTCTTCTCGTTCCACCCTCTCAACACGTGCTCGAAAGTGGGAAGATCAAGACCAGGAAAGCTAAAGTGGATGTAGTGTCTGTAGAGACGATCTTCATAGGCATCCCTAGGCCTTTGGTCCATAAGTTACACTAAAGAATGTATGAAATCATAGTAAGCCATGAAGCTGGATGTAGACCAAAACACCGATATAGTCTTTTCTCTGCAAAGCAAAATAAGAAGATATAATTAGTTTGTAAATAATCTATAACCTTAAAAATATATTGTAAACTTGACAATGAAACTATAACCTTAATAACAAATCCATAACTTTAACAACTAATCCATAACCTTAACAACTAACTTGTAACCATAACAACTAATAAGCCACAAGTTAACAATAACATTTACAACCAATCGATAACCTTAATATCTAATGCATAACCTTAACAACTAATGAGTCAAAAGTTAATAGTAACATTCACAACTAATTCATAACCTTAACAATTAACGCTTAACATTAACAACTAATAGGTCACAAGTTAGTAGTAATCTTAACAACTAACAAGCCACAAGTTAACGATAAGCTTCATAACTACTTCATAGCCTTAACAAGTAATGCCTAATCTTAATAATTAATAAATATCCTTGACAACTAAAAGCTAACCTTCACAACTTGACTATAACCTTCACAATTAACACACACCATGCAACATCATAAATAACTACATTATGCAGTAAACTTATTTCTTTTTTGTTGACATTTGCATGCCTTCCAAATTGCTCCTATTTGTTCCTTTATTTAGATCTAGGAGCGATCTCAAGGCATAGTCGGTGCTGTCTCTAGATCCTTCCGTTGAACTGGGCTTGTGGTTGAAGTGGAATTTTGCGAGGAGGATGACTAGTTGCAATGTCCTCTAGAACATTTGCTATTGTTCCGTCAGCATTAGTTGACTCAGCGCTCAGATGTCTTCTTGCGACCATATACTGTGACACATCATCGTCTTCTAAATCTTCTATATAGGTGACTGCTTTAGGAGCTAACTTGCCTATCGTGATTCCACTCAAGGGTGTAGGACGACAAGATGAGAAGAAAATAGCTTCGATTCTGCTCTGGGTAGGTTGATTTAGGGTTAGGGTTTCTAATTGGGGACAGTCGGTTTCTCTTAAACAGATGAGAGAGATGGACATGCTCTTCGAGGAGAGGTATTGAAAAAGTGGGATGCAGTTAAATCAAATGGCATTTTTTGGGGTTTTTTTTATAAAAAACTTGTGTCACGTGGAAAGGGGGTTTGGGGTTTAAAAGAATTATGGGTTTGATTTGAAAAAGTCTTTTTTTTTGGTGGGTGGGTGGGTTGGGGGGGTTGGATATTTTTGCCATTTTGGGGCCTAGAAGCAATTTTCCGTAATTATTTTTTTACACTGGACGTGGCGTGTGATTATGCATGTTTTTTATAGTATCAAATCAACACATGATCCAACTTGATTTGCTCAAATTGGAACTTGCTGAATTCGATATATACGGAAAATTGGAAAAATCCTCCACTTTATGAGACTTGCTCTACCATTTAATTTGATCATAAAAGTTTAAGTGAAACGCGTTCAATGTGGTATTTGTTTAAAGGGTTAATCGTGAGCAGATATCCTGTAGTAACACCAAACTGCAAATTGACCCTATAGCTCTGTTCATTGCGAATAGACCCCTATAGTTCTATTTGTTGCGGATAGACCCTCATGTAGTATTAGCACAAGTGCGCATACACACCCTTGGTAAACTTTTTTGACTCTTTTGAATTGGGTGCAATAGAAACCATAGGGGTCTATCCACCTCCTCAAACATTTTGAGTCAAAAAAAAAAAAAAAATCACTCATATTCACAACAAATAGAACTAGAGGGAGTCTATCCATAACAAATAGAATTACAAAGGGTCTACTCGCAATAGCGTGATACTATAGGGGTTCTGTTCACAATTAACAGTTGTTAAAACTACGAGTAATGAGCTTTAATGAGTTTATAATTGTCAAATACTAATACATAATCCTGGTTAAGCCTTCTGCATATATTTTTTTCAATAGATAGAGAAGTCACATTGAAACGAAAAAACAAAACAGGAGGGTAGAATATCAACT